GCTGCTGTAACGTCCACACGGGTCATGTTGACATGTTTGTAACATATAGTTACATTTCTTGACATTGTTTTTCATACATTGTTCTAACTTGACATTTGCTTTTTCCTTTACAATTGTTAGTGCTAGGACCGTGCGAGACTTTGCCTCACCATTTCTTTTCTAATTACCCATATTCTGACAGTTTGAGTATTTGTGCGACCCACGCAAATGTTCTTTAGGTTGGTATTGTTCGTCGAATCAGTCAGCCTCACCTGTTAATTGAGCCGACTGTAAACCGACACATGCGTACTGCCTTCAGAACGGGTCCGCTCAAACTGTTGTGGTTCTTTCCTCAAAAGGCCACTACAGAAAGAACTTGCACGGTTCTCACACATAATCTTTTATACATATTGTCTGGACTTTAAAAGAGACAGACCTCTGAGTTTGTTTCGGCATTTCTTCTCAGAGTAGTCAGTTAGGAAATGTCGACCTCATTGTTCGCTTGATAATATTGACGTGTAAAAGTGCTGCTTTGTAGCCTATTTGCAGAAATAAATTCACTTGTTTCACTTGTTTCACTTGTTTCACCTGCCTATTAAATCCCAACCGAGCCCGAGTGAATAGGTTGCTTATGGGACGACGTGCTTCATCGTAGACCGCATCATCGCTCTTACTACCAGGCGAGATAGTGGTCAAACGTAACGGCATATAAAAAATAAACTTTATCACTACATAGTATAAAATAAAGTCACTATCCGCCGTCTGTCTGTCCCTATGTATGCTTAGATCTTTAAAACTACGCAACGGATTTTGATGCGGTTTTTTTAATAGATTTTTTAAGGGGGTAAATCATCTAGTGACTGCTCCCGTCTAGGCGAGGCGGGAGGGAGTGTCAGACTCTTACTGACTAAAAACCACCCCGCTCCTTCTCCTGCACGTTGAGCCGAAGCCACAGTAACCCGTTAGGTTCTCCGCGACTTTTTTAATAGATAGAGTGATTCTTGTACATATACCCCTACATATGTGTTTTATAATATAATACACGCATATTGCACCCGCGCGAAGCTGGGGCGGGTCGCTAGTTTTTAAATAAATTCATACCTGTAGACGCTTCATTGTAGTACACCTTGATGCGTTCGAGCTGTAGGTCGCTCTCGCCCTTGTAGATACCATTCGGGTCCACTCCATGTTCGTCTGATATTATCTCCCAGAACTAATTGAAAAAAAAAACCACAATTTACCATAGGAAGTTAATAATTGCCTGACTGCCTCGTTGACTGAGTGGTTACAAGTGCGACTGTCGGGCAAGGGGTCTCGGGATCGATATCCGGATCGGGCAAAGGGGCCAAGAATTACTGGGTTATTAAAAAATCTCAGTAGTAGTAACACAGAGTCTGGAATTGTGCCCGGTATATACCGGGCAATAGGCTCACCCCCTATTACATGGGACGCATAACATAAATAGTGAAAAGTGGGTGTTACATGGTGCACTGGCAGTGTGCCGTAATGTTTGCCTATCCCTTCAGGGATAAAAGGTGTGATGTTATGTAATGATGTTTTTCAGATTACTCTCGTAACTGCTAACTGACTAGTTTTAAGCCTTACTAGAGGCTCATATTCATGAGTAGGATTCAGCGTTCCTCGTCAAATAATTACGTGAGCAACCGAAAAACATATAAATAATTAATTTAGTATGTCTCACAAAAGTCATGAAATAACGTAACATATAATCACGACTTTTATCCCCGAAAAGGCGGAGGTACACATTACGGCACTTAATGTCACTGTACATTGTAACACTCACTTCACACTATTTATGTTATGAGTCCCATGTAATAGGGGGTGAGCCTGTTGCCATATACCGGGCACAATTCCAGACACCGTGCTACTACTGAGAATTAAAAAAAAAAACCAGTAATACTTTGCCCGACCCGGGAATCGAGCCCGAGACCACTTTCCCGGCAGTTGCACTTGCGACCACACGGTCAACGAGGCAGTCATGAAGTAAATAGGAAATTATTTTCTGAAGTAGACAGAGGTATACGAAAAGTGGGCCTTTTGACCAGTTTTGAAGTCATCATCATCATCAATAGCACAAGGTAGCCCATTGCGCGGCTACAGCGGCCTTAGTACGAGCTTGTCTTTTGAGGGGGAAAATCATCGAATGACTGCTTCCGTCTGGGTGAGGCGGGAGGGAGTGTCATACTCTTACTGACTAAAAACCACCCCGTTCCTTCTCCTGCACGTCGAGCCGGAGCCCCGGTTACCCGTTAGGTTCTCCACGACTAGTACGAGTTTGTCTTACGTTTAAAGTATTCGAAACGAGTACGCGTTTGGCACTCTGATTGGCCGGCGCCAATGAACTAACCAATCAGAGCGCCGAACGCGTAAAACAAACTCGTACTAAGGCTTCAGACCAACCTACGTTTAATAATCGTCAAAACAGCTGAAAGGATCGATATGGAATTTGGAACAGAGGTGTATTATGGTCTGGAATTACACATAGGTTACTTTATATTCCATTGGAACGCGGGCAAAGCCGCTGGCAGATGCTAGTATTAGTTGATGCTTTGGAAAATGCAATGTTGAAGTTAGTCTGCGTAAAATTCAAAATTCAAAAATTCAATAATTCAAATTACTTTTATTCACATTTAAATAGAGTTATATTACATTTGGTGGTTTATAAGTTACATTCTTTATTTGGCGTAAGCCGGTAAGCGAAATTAGAATTTAGAATCCGGGTCAAAAGAAGAGACGTAGCTGTAGCAAATATCAGGTACAAAGATCAGGGTATCAAATTAAAAACCAAAGTAACGCTTACTCGCCATTTTTACAACACCTATACTAGTCAAGAAATCATACAAAAACATTTTCAGCATTTTTCATTTTAGTAAATCTATTCGACAACAGATGGCGTTAAATTCAAAACGGCTACAAGACGTAATGCGACAAAAGCAAACACGTTTCTTTTCAAGCAATTTTACGATAAACTAGGTCATGCGATCAAAATAATTGCCTTGCATTTTTTCTAGCAATTTCTTTTGTGCATGTTTATCGTGATACAAACTAGTGATTATGCACAAATTATCACGAATTATGGAGGTAGATACTAATGAGAATGACCTTGGTATAATTTTACACTACACGCCCCCAAATTCTTAGACAAACAAATTACTGAAAGTTCCGACTAAGATTACTTACAAAGACACTACTATAATGGCATAAGAAATACAAAATTATTCATTTATATCGAATTATTCTCGTAACCATACTTTTAAAGCATTAATCCATGTCGCTAATTGGATTTTGAACGCCGTACAAATCATTTCTTATCTTTTTCGGTAGAGAGCGCTGTTTTAGCATACATTTTCGGGAAAAATTAATGAAAATAAACACACTAACCTTGGATCCGATTTGATTTCCACATTGTCCAGCTTGTACGTGAACTATTTCGCGCATTTTGATGTGTTTTTGAAACTATTTAATGTAGTTTTTATGAAAAATATGTTCGACACTGCGCGCTGAACAAATATCAAATGATTTTACAACATTATCGCACTATCTTACAACTTCTTCGAAATGTTGATTGCCGACTGAACGGTGTTGCCGCGTAAGAAATTTACACAAATTTAAGGAGATTTTTATTAAGTGACCAGGTGTAATATTGTTTTGGTGAATTATTAAATATAATCGACTATTTTTATTTAGTTTTTGTTACAAAAAGTTTCTTTACCACAATAACGACCACTGTATCTTGTTTTGAAGGTGTTTTTTCTATCATTCTAGAAGTATTGAACTAAATCATGTATGCATGTAGAGACGTATTAAATTATTATTAAATATTGAGAGCACTCATTATTACATAAATGATTTTTTTTGGCACAGACACTGCTTTATAGGCAGTTTAGTACCAACTGGCATCCTAGGCTTTTTCCTTGTTTGCCCTAGGCAGGCAAAATACGGCTCTGGACAGTTCGTCGAATCAAGGTATCGTCATATTGTGTCACATTCACATTTCATTGTACCGCATTGCGTGTGATTCGTTCTTCACGTAAAATATTCTGGTAAACACAATGTGGTTTTGGGTTAAATAAATCAGTATGCTACTTACAATGACTTACATACCTGCGTTAATACGGATTTTTAAACCTCATATACGTTACAGTACGGTTCAAGAGTTATGGCAGGTGTGAAGTTCACGCAGAAAACTGCGCAATGACGCATTTTAGGAACCAATACCGCGACGTTGTCAGTATAGGGATAATTATGCTAGTGATTGACTCTAATTAAACACAATTGTTTTATTGTTTAATCAATTTATTTGCGAGTATACACGCGCGACAGTGACTTGCAGCTAACTTCACACCCGACATAACTCGTGAACCGTACTGTACGCAACATTTGTCGTCAATTTGTTTCGTTGTGTGACTGAAACAACCGAAGGCTTAATCATAATACCTACAAAGGTCGGTAACACACTTGTACGGTGGCCAGTAGGGCGATCTGTACTTTTCTGTCAAATTTCTATATTACATTTTCAACTTTAATGCATTGACATTTGACATAAAGTCGAAAATCTAATGAATAAATTTTACAGATTGGAGTAGGTTATTCTGTACCTGTACCTAACTCATATAGGGTTGCGCGTGTCCATTGGCGGCGCCACTTACGATTCGTCTATTCGTTTGGTTCCCAATCGCATTTATAAAACGGAGAAACCTTAGAAATAATGTCTAATATATAACAATATCTTTATTTTGCTTTTATTATGTTTTCTTAGTGGTTTTTCTTTGATTGCGATTGTAAAATTTTCTTTAGCTTTAAATTTTGTGCGCCTAGCGAAAACTTATTGATCTACTGGTAGGCTCTGCTAAAACCATCATAGATTAACAATTGTAATAATACAAATGTGTTGTTGATAATCTTTTAACATTAATTCACAATATTAAAACAAATGAGTAAAACTTATTCTGAGAGTTAGCAACCCCAACTGATAAGTAATGCAGTAACTGATAAAAGATAAAATGATAACGTTACAGGGAGTATATATGGACCAGTGACTTAGACCCCCTATAGTAAAGAAAATCTTCATTTTTAGAGTTTATTTTATATTGGTAAATACGACCATAGCAACAGGCCTCTGCGTGCGTACAAAATATTATGAAATGCGAGTTCAATGTATAAAGGACGTTTTAATTCGTCATTGAATCAATATTTTAATCGGAATCAAGGTGTGGTAGGTTTTAAATAAACAAATATGCATAGTGAACACATATTCTTGGATTTTGTAAGATAAATAAATCCGGATTTGATATTTCAAATGCTTTTCTAGATAGCGCAGCCTTTTATTTTTAAATATTGTGTTGAATGCATTTAAACTAATAATGTACTTAAAGACATAAGGAGAATTTTTGTTAGGTCGGTAGGTACCTGCATCTTATCATGCTTAAAATTTCAATCTATAAAAGTTTGATCTTTGATAAAAATCACCATTTTGATATGAATTTGGCGGGAAATTCATGATCACTCTCTCAGCTCAGAGAAAATAGTGAAAACGCGATTCTTTACTCAGGATCAGGATCACCCACCAGCTGACAAGCGAATAAGGAGGTATAATTTAAAATAGATATTAATTACTTGAATGCCGGTATAAAAGACACAATAGAAAATACATTGCGTCGTGGAATCGCGTTAAAAAAAATCATAATAGATGTTTATCATTCATATAAATGTTTTGAGTTGGCTGTATAAGTAATTTCCCGCGCCTCAGTTTTACTTACATTTCAACGACGACAATTTGATAGGTACCTAGTTAATGTCAGTGACTGAGCGACCGTCCTGAAATAAAAGAGTGCAAAGAAAAGTGTTTTCAAAAGAATCTAAAAGATAAATATACTGATACAATATCAAAATATTATAATACTACTATTTCACGTTTTTATAAAAACATTTTTTTAAATTTATATTTAAAAATGCGATTTCGTCAAACACGTACAAGTACAATACACTAATATCACATAACCATGTTTTTGAACGATTCAAACAAAGTCAACAGTCAGCTGGTAGGTAACGAATGAAAACATTACAAATAGTAGGTACAGTACAATGTCATAAAACACACAAGTGAAAGTCTTTGTCTTCCTAAATAAAGTAACTTTAATCAGTTAAAGATCATATCAACGCCATATAACCATGTACTCAGCTTAATAAGTCGAAATAAAAATAAACAAATAGCCATAATAACAAAAATATAACCTCAAAACCTGTGAAGTAATAATAGAGAAAATGTTGAAAGTTTTAAGATTTGCAGCGACTGCGGTGTTGTTGTTTACAGCCTATTTCGGCGATGTAATAGTGTTTCGGTCGAGATATTCAAACTCCTTGCTATTTCGGGCGATTTGCGACGTTTTAGTGCATGGAAGTTTAGGGTTTTTTTCTTCAATAATTTTTTTTAGTATTGATAATAATTATTTCTCACTGGAATATGATGGGACGCTACATATAGTTCTATGCACATTTTTCTCGTCCATTATCGATATTGATCATGTTTTCGTGGCTAAATCGATATATTTGAAGGTTTGTATTTCTACCTACATTTTTCTGTTTTATTTAAACCTTACTGTTGATATCATTTCTTTTAATTATTTCTTATTTTAGGGCTTCATAACTAATAAAACAAATCAAAGGTAGACTACTGTGCAAGGTGCCATACCTTCCACAGTAGTGGGTTTGATTCTTGCTCAAAATTATTTGTGTTGTATTGTACCCTCATTTTGTTGTTTCAAGTCTAGCTATAATGTGTATATTTATGGGCTTTTGGATATCCCACAGCACAAGGACTCAACCCTAGTGTAGCGTAGATGTCGCGGAGAATGTAACAGGTTACCGGGGCTCCGGCTCGATGTGCAGTAGAAGGAACGGGGTGGTTTTTAGCCAATAAGAGTCTGACACTCCCTCCCGCCTTACCCAGGCGGAAGCAGTCATTCGATGATGTTCCCCCTTTAAAAAAAATGTAGCATACATACTTAACTTCACACCTGTCTCCCATGGGGGTAGGCAGAAACTATAGCACGCCAATTGCTACGATTCCTACATACCTCTTTCGACGACAGTCATCAGTCTTTTTATGCATTAATGGTTAACCTCTTGTGTGTCTAAGATGTGGATCGACGTGAGACACACTGTATTTTCTAATTGTGTCTCATATCGGTGCATTCAAAAGGTTAAGGGTACTTTTAATTTGGCTGTTCTTTAATATATCGCCAATCGGTGTAGCATAACATAATAAAATTATACGAAACAGTAATAATGTAAGTTTTTTGCTTGTTTCAGGATATGGTCAACTTGAAACACCGAGGTGTATTCCACTGTACAACATTTTGGCTTGCGCTGACTGCGTTACTACTTCTTTACAGTTATATAAAAAAAAGAATAGAAGTGTACATGTTCAGTTTCATGATCGTCCTTGCATACATCACACATCATCTGCGGGATGGAACGAGACGAGGAATATGGCTGTACCCCTTGGGATCAACGCCACCTGTTGATAAAAAGTTGTACTATTTCATACTAGGCACTTTTCCGCATGTCAGTGCCATGTTGTTTAAAAGATATAAACGGTATTTTAATTATCCTACTTTAGAAGACACTTTCACTGTATAATTTATTTGTAGACACAGGAGTGTATGTGTAGACACAATTTTCAGTAGTCAAATGATCTTCTAGTTTATTTGAAGTCTCGACATAGATAACGACAAAAGGTGGTCGCTAAATCGATAACTTCTTTATTGTAGATTTCAACCTTATCTTTTTGGATTTAGTTGAAAATTTGTTCGTGATAATATTTATTATTCTTTATTCTATGCTGACTTAGCGATCAATTTCTGTCGTAATTGCTGTCGAGACTCCAGTCCATTTTTATATTACCTAATTGTTTATTGGTTTGATTGATACTGAAAGTGTAATATATGAACTGTAATATTGAATAAAAATTGTGATTCACAAGGGAGCTTAATGATAAATACTAGACAATTTCATAAATACTGCATTTTTTGGTAATGAATTCATTCAAAAATTATTTGCACCTACCTGTTTTGAATTGCATAGCTGGGTTTTGAATCAAAGATCTCAAATTCTCAAATTAGAAGTAGTATATTTTGCAATGTTTGAATCAAATTAGTCAATATAGAATATTATGTTGTTGCTTCTTAATATTATAAATAAGTTTAAATAATTAAAAAATAACAAACGCAAGATTTTAAATTGTAGTTTGTTAATGTGTGTTTAATTCAGGGTTTGCCCTCTTGACATTTATAACTGTACTCTACTGTAAACTGTAAAAGAAATATAAAATTTGATTCAAACATTGCAAAATATGTTTGAATCAAATTAGTCAATATAGAATATTATGTTGTTGCTTCTTAATATTATAAATAAGTTTAAATAATTAAAAAATAACAAACGCAAGATTTTAAATTGTAGTTTGTTAATGTGTGTTTAATTCAGGGTTTGCCCTCTTGACATTTATAACTGTACTCTACTGTAAACTGTAAAAGAAATATAAAATTTGATTCAAACATTGCAAAATATGTTTGAATCAAATTAGTCAATATAGAATATTATGTTGTTGCTTCTTAATATTATAAATAAGTTTAAATAATTAAAAAATAACAAACGCAAGATTTTAAATTGTAGTTTGTTAATGTGTGTTTAATTCAGGGTTTGCCCTCTTGACATTTATAACTGTACTCTACTGTAAACTGTAAAAGAAATATAAAATTTGATTCAAACATTGCAAAATATGTTTGAATCAAATTAGTCAATATAGAATATTATGTTGTTGCTTCTTAATATTATAAATAAGTTTAAATAATTAAAAAATAACAAACGCAAGATTTTAAATTGTAGTTTGATAATGTGTGTTTAATTCAGGGTTTGCCCTCTTGACATTTATAACTGTACTCTACTGTAAACTGTAAAAGAAATATAAAATGTCTAATTCGTTAAAAACTTAAAAAAATAGTCACTAAACACCAATTCACTATTCATTACCAACGGAATTTGGATGTTATGAATGTAAAGACTGTCAGCCCTGTTGTTATTATAAACGTAGATCTAAGACGTTATTTGTTACAAATAAATTCTTGTTACATAATTTAATATTTTTCTTATTGTGATACTTACTTTAGGCCTTAAAAAGGAGTTGTTAAAGTATTTTATAATAGAAGCTTTTTGAAAATGTTGTAACATCCAATAAATTTGTATTGTAACTTTCGTGATACATACTAAATAAATTATTATGTTTTCGGCTTACTCACGTTGTAATTCGACGAATTGCACGTTGTAGCAGCGCGACAGTCGCCGCGTCGCGTGTCGCGAAATGCTGCTCATGAATATGAGCCTCTAGCATGGCTTGAAACTAGTCGAGTTCCTCGTCGAATTACAACGTGAGTAAGCCGAAAACATAATAATTTATCCAATAAATTGTAATAAATTTTGAGATAGTCAGTGCAAAGTGATAATGACATTTAAATTCCCGCCAATCGCTATTATTTTTTATCTGTATATGACAAAAATGGAATCTAATTGAGTCAAAAATTCAGTATTCGTCAATCATAATTCCTAATTGCATTTTTTGACAAATCTAGGTAACTTCCATAGATTATATTGTTGTAGTGTTTTTATTTAAATTTGAACTCAAATTATTATTTTTCGCTTGTATCTGTGCATTTATTAAAACGTAGGGACCTTAACGATAACGTAGCAGCTTTTAATTTTGTATTTTTTTTAACTATTTAATAATGATGTAACTACTGTATATAAGCCATGCATATTGTACATAAATAAATCGTTGAACTGATTTATGAGCTCATTCTTTTTATTAATTTCAAATCTAGTATCATAATTACTAAGATACAGACTAAGTTACACTAAGTGGTATCGATGTCGAGTAAAGAATACCTACCAGATTTATAACGTTACTTTAAATAGTTAAACAAAAGTTCGAAATATATTTTTCGATTTTTATTTTGTCGTTATTAATGTCGAAACTACCAAACCCCGAATGTGATGTAAGCTAAAGAAGTATGTAAGGAGCGTAGTAGGTGGCGCTCTGTAGTTTCTGTATACCATCAGATGTATGAATGTGATGTGAGCTAAAGAAGTATGTAAGGAGCGTAGTAGGTGGCGCTCTGTAGTTTCTGTATACCATCAGATGTATGAATGTGATGTAAGCTAAAGAAGTATGTAAGGAGCGTAGTAGGTGGCGCTCTGTAGTTTCTGTATACCATCAGATGTATGAATGTGATGTAAGCTAAAGAAGTATGTAAGGAGCGTAGTAGGTGGCGCTCTGTAGTTTCTGTATACCATCAGATGTATGAATGTGATGTAAGCTAAAGAAGTATGTAAGGAGCGTAGTAGGTGGCGCTCTGTAGTTTCTGTATACCATCAGATGTATGAATGTGATGTAAGCTAAAGAAGTATGTAAGGAGCGTAGTAGGTG